CAATGGTTTAATGGGACAGGGTGTGGTTTAATGGGACAGGGGCATGGCTTAATGGGATGGGGCTCTGTTTTAATGGGACGGGGTGTGGTTTAATGGGACAGGATGTGGTTTAATGGGACGGGATGTGGTTTAATGGGATGGGGCTCCGTTTTATTGGGACGGGGGTGTGGTTAAATGGGATGGTAGATTGTTTCAAAGGAATAGACTGATGTTTTAATGGGATGAAAGGCCCCTTCCTGCTCCTAGCTCATACATTCTCCATGTGGCTGTGTTAGCCCTGGGGACCAGGAGGCCTGGGTTCAAGACCCACCTGTTCCAGACCTGCATAATAACTCTCAAGAACAGGTTGATTAGAAAAATAGGTTAAATAAAAAAAATTAGAAAAGGGCCATGCTTTATTGCGATAGGGCTGTTTTAATTGAGACGGGGCTGAGTTTGAAGTGGAAGGTGTTGTGGTTGCAGGAGATGGGGTTCTGTTTGTACTTTAACGGGGAAAGATGGTTGTCTTCTTGAGACTGGATTTTGTTTCAATGCAAGGGCTGTGTTTATGTAGGATAGAATTATCGCTAATTGTAGACGGTTGTGAGTGAATGGGATGTGGTGTTGTTTTAATGGGACAAGGAAATGGCGGTATTTTGATCGTATTGCGATTGTTTTAATGAGAAAGGACTCTGTTTTACCAGGAAGGGACAATCTTTTAACAGCTGGGGCTGTATTAAAATGTGGAGCAGGGCTACGTTTTATAATCATACAGCACGGAAACAGACCCTTCGCTCCAACCAGTCCATAATCCCAAACTAAACTACTCCCCACCTGCCTGCTCCTGGACCATATCCCTCCAAACCTTTCCTATTCATGTACTTATCCACATGTTTTTTAAACATTGTAACTGAACCCACATCCCCCACTTCCTCAGGAAGTTCATTCCACGCACGAACCACTCTCTGTGTAAAAAAATTTGCCCCTCATGACTTTTTTAAATGTTCCTTCTTTCACCTTAAAAATGTGCCCCCTAGTCTTGAAACCCCTCCATCTTAGGGAAAAGACAATGACCATCAACTCTATCTATACCCCTCATCATAAACTTCTATAAGGTCGCCTCCTACCCTCCTATGCTCCAGTGAAAAAAGTCCCAGCCTCTCCTTATAACTCAAACCCTCCATTCCCGGCAACATCCTGGTAAATCTCTTCTGAGCCCTCTCCAGGTTAATAATATCCTTCCTATAACAGGGAGACTGGAATTGGGCACAGTGCTCCAGAAGAGGCCTCACCAATGTCCTGTACAACCTCAACATGACGTCCCAACTCCTAAACTCAAAGGTCTGAGCAATGAAGGCAAGCGTGCTAAAAACCTTAACCACCCTGTCTACATGTGACACAAACTTCAAAGCATTATGTAGCTGAACCCCTAGGTCTCTCTGTTCTACAACACAATCCAAGGCTCCACCATTAATTGTATAAGTCCTACCCTTGTTTGTTTTACTAAAACTCAATACCTTACATTTATCAAAATTGAACTCCATCTGCCACTCTTCAGCCCATTGACCCATTTGATCAAGATCCCTTTGCAATCTTAGATAAACTTCTTCACTGTCTATGCCACCAATTTGTTTTAGTGGGAAAGGGCTACGTTTTGGTGGGACAGGATTGTGTGATGACTGGGCCAGGCTGTGTTTAGATGGTGCTGAACATTGAGCGATCATCAGCGAACATCCCCACTTCTGACCTTATGATGGAGGGAAGGTCATTGATGAAGTAGCTGAAGATGGTTGGGCCTAGGACACTACCCTGAGGAACTCCTGCAGTGATGTCCTGGAGCTGAGATGACTGACCTCCAACAACCACGACCACCTTCCTGTGTGTCAGGTATGTCTCCAACCACTGGAGCATTTGCCCCGATACCCATTGTTTCCAGTTTTGCCAGGGCTCTGTGATGCCCCACTCGGTCGAATGCAGCGTTGATGTTAGGGGCTGTCACTCTCACCTCACCCCTGGAATTCAGCTTTTTTTGTCCATGTTTGAACCAAGGCTGTAATGAGGTCAGGAGCTGAGTGGCCCTGGCAGAACCTAAACTGGGCGTCACTGAGCAGGTTATTGCTGAGCAGGTGCTGTGTGATAGCCCTGTTACTGACACCTTCCATCACTTTACTGATGATCGAGAGGAGACTGATGGGGCGATAATTGGCCGGGTTGGATTTGTCCTGCTTTTTGTGTACAGGACATACTTGGGTAATTTTCCACATTGTCGGGTAGATCCCAGTGTTGTAACTGTACTGGAACAGCTTGGCTAGGGGAACGGCAAGTTCGGGAGCACAAGGCTTCAGTACCATTGCCAGAATGTTGTTAGGGTCCGCAGCCTTTGCAATATGCAAACTGTATTTTTGAGAGATGGGGCTGTGTTTTATTGAGACACGGTTATGCTCGGTGGGAAAGGGCTGTGTGTGAATGGGAGATGGGGCTGTGTCTGACTAGAGTCAGGGCTGTGTTTATTTGTATTGCTCTGACCCACATTAGAACTGAGCTGTTTCTCAAAGATAGGGACGTGCTTTGATGAATGGGCCTGTGATCTGAAGACTGGTTTCTGTCTTTCTGTCATGGAAGAGTCTGTGTCTTACCAATAAGATGGCACTTTCTTGGCAGGGGCTGTGTTTACATGTTAGGGTCGCGCTTAATTAGCAAGAAACAATGATGGGGTCTGATTTCCTGATAATTCAGAAATGGAAGAATGAAGTTAAATCATACGATTATCTGTCTGTCTGCCTCCACCCTCCCTTTTTGTTTTTGTCTGTCTCTCCCTCTATCCCTCTGCTTCTCCATCCATTACTTCCTCTCTCTCTCTCCCCCTCATCTGTCTCTCTCGCTCTGTCTCCCTGTCTTTCTCTCTGTCTGTCTCTCTCTCTGTCTCCCT